TGCTAAACAATTAGTGAAGACACTGCAGTGGGATATTGACATATTGTACAACTTAGCAGAAAAATATAACATCAAGTTGTCAAAAAAATATACCTGGAATCTAAACATGCAGTGAGAAATCACATTTGCTATAGTGGAGGGAAAATATGATATTGTGGAACTTTCTTCCATGACCACAGACGCTGGTGTGTCTCTATGACAGTGTGTGAGTGAGTGAGTTGAGTTTGACACTGCTTCCAACAGTATTTCAGCTATGTCAGTGAGTCAGCTCATCTGGAGTAAACTTAAAATGATGAAGTTTCCGTTTGAATTCAAATTTAAACCCACAAGTACAGTACTGACAACCTTAGAAAATAATTAAGTTTAAACTCACAGTTAGTGGTTTCTTGAACACATCTGTGCCAAGAAAATTACAATGCCCTAGACAACTTGGTCTCTTCATTTTCAGATTCTTTCATTTCATGACACATATCACATTTAAAAGTAACTGTGAGTGAGTGAATATAGTTTTACGCTGCTCTTAGCAATATTCCTGCAATATCACGGTGGGGGGACACCAGAAACGGGAACCACACATTGTACCCATGTAGGAAATCGAACCCGTGTTTTTCTCCGTGCCGAGCGAACGATTTAGTTAGTGAGTTTAGTTTTACGCCTCCTTTAGCAATATTCCAGCAATATCACGGTTGGGGACACCAGAAATGGGCTTCACACAGTCATTGTACCTATATGGGCAATTGAACCCCGACCTCGGGCTTAAGGAGTGACATTTCACCACTAAGCTACCAAACAGCCCCAAAAGTAACTATGAAAGAAAATGTGAGTCCCAACATTGTCAAGAATTTTAGGGCTCAGATTATATTTTAATCACATCTCAGTCCCTTCCTCAGCTTATCAAATGGTCGACTATCCTCATGCTTCAGGAGTCAATATTCACCAGCTCAGCAGTTCATCTGGAGGAATGTTTGAAGACACTACATGGATCATTTCCATGACTTCCTTGGTTAGCAGGGCAATCAGGTTACTTTATTTCCATCCATTAAGAAAACTGAAAATTTATATTTACATTAATATTCCGACAATACAGTTAAAGTATCAGTTGACGTCAGGATTCATACAGGTTATCACCCATCAAATTTAAGGCCTCTTTAGGGGTTTTCATGGTCCTATCAACAATTTCAAAGATCTATGCAAACACATAAATGGTTGAATACACAGGAGGTTGGTCAAACATGGGACCAACCATCAAAGGGAAATAACTCTTAGCTACATCGCTGCACTGGGTAAGTTTTGTTTTGCGATGGAGATTAAAAAACACCCACTGTCATTGCTAGCTATTCCTATTATGTGTTATTTTCCAGTAAAATCATAACTTGACAAATTTTGCTAACTATAAGGACTTTTCAGGGCAAATCACTTGCAATTTGGGCCTTGTCAAGGTTAAAACAAATTTAGGGCCTTTTAAGGGTCAAATGTCTCAATTTCACGCTTTTTTCAAGCCTGTAGGACCCTTGACAATATGGTTTAACACTGCTTTCAGCACTAATTCAGGGTCATAGCATGTCCATTTAAGGAGGGAGAACATTTCAAATTAATCCAGGTCATTCATGGTCACCACCATAATTACAGCATGCATTTAGGATCAAAATTGAAAATCTGGATTCAAACTCACAACCATCGACAACAGTAGGAAACTACTGTGATTTGATACAGAGAAAAAAATATAAAACTACAACAAAAAAATATATAATTATAATCAGATCTTTCACTTGGATGTGATTAGATGTGCAGGAAGATCTAAGGACACCAGTGTTAAAGGTCACCTTACTGATCAGCCAATCAGCATCAAGGCAAAGAATTTTTCAGTATGAGTGTGTGTAGAATTAGCAAAAGCAAATCTCATTTGGTTATTTTAAAAGCAAACTGAAACAACCTAAACAGAAGTGCCCTTAGATCTTAATGTAGTTTCTAAACATATCGGTATAAATGGGATGATTTTAATGATATTATTATAAAATGAGGAATATCTAGAAATTGAAATCTTGAGTGCATTTGAGACTTCAATCAAAATTCCCATCCCAACAATAACATGAACAACAGGACACAGTTTGTAATGCCAATGAACAAATTAATCAAAGGATCAAACAATCAAATCTACAGATCCAACAAGTTTAACAGCCATGCTACCTTCAACTGACTTCAAACTTCTATTCAGGGGGAGATAACTCTGGTTCCCCTCCTCACAAGGCTGTGCTTGCATATTGTAGCTTATGGGAATAGGAAGGCACCAGCACCGTGCTGTGTGAGTGGAATATATACATGGACATATATATACATGGACATAAAAATGGACATTTTTTATGGACATCATCGTGTAATTACTGGGACAGATTTCTCATTCTTGTGTGTGGATATCAGATTACAAAATTTCTCATTTTTGAAATTAATCTTTTAATACTAAAACACTTCTTAAACACTACTTTAAGACCATACATTTCTATTAGGCCAGACCAATAACATTTCATTTTACCAGTATATTTGTTAGCAAAGAAATACACTCAACATCCCTCAAGTCATCCCTGGCCACATTTCACATCCAGATCTTTGTTAGAGAAGGACAAACTCTGAACAACTTCCTTATTCAGGTGATACGACGTTTTGATACAGATTCTTTTCTTGTATCGTTGTCAAGCAGGTATAATACCAGCATACCTTATTGACAATGATAGAAGTGAGTGAGTGATTTTGGTTTTACGCCACTTACGCAATATTCCAACAATATCACAGCAGGGGACATCAGAAATGGGCTTCACACATTGTACCCATGTGGGGAATCGAATCTGGTTCTTCGGCGTGACGAGCGAACGCTTTAACCACTATTCTATCCCACCACCCCAACGATACAAGAATCTGTATCGAAACGTCGCATCACCTGAATAAAGAAGTTGTTCATCCATAAAGTTTGTGCTTATCTGACTCTCCAACTTCTAAAATGCCACTCAAAGAAGTCGTATCATTGTTCACATTGGTCTGGCCAAACAGTTCACACAAAAGTCAGGAGTTAATCCTCAATTTCAGACATCGGAAAATCATAGCATGATTAATTCAAATATTAATGTGGCAATCAAAATACCGAGTGACAAGTAAAATATATGATCCTGGCTATGACGCAATGATGATATGGTATTCCAGGAATTATGAAAAATAGCGCCACATAAAACTTCAAAATCCTTACAATCCCCAAATGCCTGCATGGGGATATAACAACATCCCCCATCCCTACCCTTTACAGAAAACCCAGTAACAATGGCAACATAAATACAAATATATACAGAACACGGGGTACAAATAGCACTATGATGAACAGACAGATCTTCAACGTATGACATTACCTCGTCATCAGAACTCCAAGGTAAAAGGATGACAACAACACAGGGTTAAAATGATGCTACAGTAAATGGACCACGAGCACCTGGTATGGTCAAATATCCCATGCTGACATATTCACAGAATTTGGGGACCATTCATAAATTATGGCTAGGGGGGTGATGATGATTTTTATGGAGAATCATGTACAATGTGAATGCCCCCAAAAATTAAAATAAATTAAAAATTATGTACATAGAAAGTGACCCCCACCCACCCCTGCAAGTCATGTACAAAATCAAGCCCCCACACACACACAATTTTTAAGCATAATATATTATGACCACCCTACATCCCCAGAACAAAATGGGTGCCCCTACCACACACCCTAAAATCATTATCACCCCCCAGCCATAAATTATGAATGGTCCCTTACATCATCAATTATTATTGAACACTGTCTAAACATAGGTGATATAAAGTTGTCAAAATCATGTCTCAAAAGGGTAAAAAATCTTACAAAAACGATTATGTATACAACTACATCAAACAGCAAAGGCATCTGATAATGATAGTGATTCGTACTAACAGAAAAGTCAATCCCACTGTTTCACATTAAGCATGGTAAGCTTGTCGACTGTGTTAAATAAGGCAATCAGTATAACCACGATTTTCTCTATTTTATTTTTAGGTGGGGGATTAAATTTTTTTTAAAGTCTTGCCTGTGTTAAATAAGAGCATGAATCAGCAAAAGACATGTGGAAGTTAATATTTCTGGTGCAATATTGTATGTTGCGTAGTTGAAAGCATATTCTGTGTTTTATACAAGTTTGGCCTGTGTCTCAACAGTCAAAATGGCTAGAATGTGTCTGGTCCAGATTGTATGTGTTCGATCTGTTTGTGCCTGTGTCTTATACAAGTTTGGCGTGTCTCAAAAGTCTTGTACCACCGGACACCTTGGATCAAAATATGTCTGATCTGTTCTGTATGAGTACGTGAATGCGACCAAAAATTTGAACTGCACATGTGTTTGTGGGTCTGGTTGTCAGACAGGATCACATAAAAAATTTGTCTGATTTGAGTCTTTTTGCATTGATTATACATGTGTCTTGGATGTGTCTTAAAACTCAAATGTGTCTGAACAGTCTTGCATGTCACATCTATATCTAGACTGTGTCTGAGTGGAATCTTGCACGAGAATTGTCTGATCTGCACGAGAAACTCCAGTGTTGTCCCCAATCAATACCTTTGTCCAACAGAGAAGATGAAGTCTTGGAACAGCATTTAGGGAAGTTGAAAATGGACAATACACTGTTTTCAATAACCAGATGCCAATCTTGTTTGTACCCTCCTAATTGGAGCAACAAAATAGACCCAAACATCTTAATCAAAGGGATGAGAATGAAGTTTTGAGAAAAACTCTGAAAACTAACCAAAGTTCCTGATATTTAGGCATTTTAGACCTTTAAAACTGGTTCAGAAATGACAATATCATGAACACAGCAACCATTAAAACCTTTAAATCTGCTGAAGCACATTCATACAATTGTCAACTGATTTAGGCGATTCACAAAATGGCCTTATGAAATTCCCGAATTCCACAGATCTGCGGAAAATTCTCATCCCTGTAATCCTCGCATCTGAAGGCGTTAATATTCTCATAAACATTTCTAACATCATGAGGTGTAATCATAAACAATTATTGCATCAACATGATATATGAGTTATTTCAACAGCACATTCAGATAATTTCTAGCATTTGATGGCCGAGGTCACCAAGGAACCAATTCTCATTATAAACCATATGAAGAATCAAACTCGAACCTTCTGAAATCAAACACTAACCACTCGGCTACAGCACCTCCCAGACATGACAAAGACAAGAAAATGATCTACACTGCCCTTCTACTCTACATGGGTTCCAGGTGTCTTCTAGCTCATGAGATGTGTATCCATCAATGAGAAGTGGATGGATGAGATGACCTGATGCCCGTGTCTAGTAACTGTTGTTGTAGTACTCCGGCATGGAGGTCTTCTCCCGACTCACTTCCTGGTTCTCCTGCTTCAGGAAGAAGAAGATGGCGGCCCCCAAAAGGAAGAGGAGCCCACCGAACGCCACGCCATACGTCCAATCGATATCCCAACGTTCCATGTCACCGCGATGAGCATTCATTATGTCTTCGGAGAACTTCACGGGGAAGATGATGACCGATATCAGGATGAACACAGCTGCAACCAAACAATAAAGTACCATAAGCTCTTTGACTCATTCCACAAATCCTTTTAACTATATTGGAATTGGTCATCTTAACTCTTGCTTAATGGAATGAATGTTGATATCAAAATATACAGAAAGTCAATATGCATGGTTACATAACCATTGGCGGATCCAGAGGGGGGGTTCAGGGGGTCGAACCCCCCTTTTGAAAATGACTTAAGACCACATTAAAGATTATTTTTTGCGTTGGCGAGCCAATGGGGAGTGAACCCTACCCCCCTCCTTTCAAAATTCCTGGATCCGCCCATGACATAACCATTATATTTATTTGTTTAAAAAACAGTTGGAATTGGATGTAGAATGAGTGAGTGAGGAAGTTAAGTTTTATGCCGCTTTAGCAATATTCTAGCAATATCACAGTGGGGGACAGCAGAAATGGGCTTCATACATTGTACCCATGTGGGGTCTTTGGCATGATGAGCAAGTGTTTTTAACCACAAGGCTACGCCATCGCCCAGGATGCAGAATGGGTAACCAGAGCAACGTATCATGATGACAATGGTCATAAATCATCGTTGCGTAACCATAACAACACTGCTACTCCCTGTTTGTTTGATGCTGCACTCAGCAACATTCCAGTTGTATGGGGTGGTCTGTACATATCTGACAATCCAGTGATTAACATCATGAGCACCACTCCAGACAAACTTTGGTAGCTGAAGACCAATCCTACACAGCGTTTTCAGAGGGACTACCGCCTCTGTGGTGTAGTGGTTAGAGCATCTGCCCGGAGAGCGGAAGATCGTGGGTTCGATCCCCGACCATATCATACCAAAAGACGTTAAAATATGGTGCTTGTTGGTCCCTGCCTGGCACTCAGCATTAATGGGTATATCAAGGGCTGGTCGGCTCGGAGTCAGTATAATGTGTCTGAGTGGGGTATTCATGCTTCACTGCGGCATGGTATCTCAGTGGGCTAGCACTATAAAACCAGCATCAGTCTGGGCTAGTACAAGCAGCCGCACATACACATACACACACATGCACGTCGTCATATGAGCGAAACATTCTCAAGTACGACGTTAAACCCAATTTCACCTCAACTCACCTCACCCTCAGAGGGACTAATTCTCACCCAGATCTTCATGGGGAAAAAAGCATGGGCTGCTGAAAACCAGTATCAACCCAGATCTTCATGGGGAAAAAAGCATGGGCTGCTGAAAACCAGTTTCAACCCAGATCTTCATGGGGAACAAGCATGGGCTGCTAAAAACCAGTTTCAACCCAGATCTTCATGGGGAAAAAGCATGGGCTGCTAAAAACCAGTATCAACCCAGATCTTCATGGAGAAACAAGTGTGGGTTGCTGAAAACCAGTTTCAACCCAGATCTTCATGGGGAACAAGCATGGGATGCTAAAACCAGTATCAACCCAGATCTTCATGGGGAACAAGCAAGCTAAAAACCAGTTTCAAACCAGATCTTCATGGGGAACAAGCATGGCCAGATCTTCATTCATGGGAAAAAAGCATGGGCTGCTAAAAAACCAGTATCAACCCAGATCTTCATGGGGAAAAAAGCATGGGCTGCTGAAAACCAGTATCAACCAAGATCTTCATGGGGAACAAGCATGGGTTGCTGAAAACCAGTATCAACCCAGATCTTCATGGGGAAAAAGCATGGGCTGCTGAAACCAGTATCAACCCAGATCTTCATGGGGAACAAGCATGGGCTGCTGAAAACCAGTTTCAACCCAGATCTTCATGGGAACAAGCATGGGCTGCTGAAAACCAGTATCAACCCAGATCTTCATATAGAACAAGCATGGGTTGCTGAAAACCAGTATCAACCCAGATCTTCATGGGGAACAAGCATGGGCTGCTGAAAACCAGTTTCAACCCAGATCTTCATGGGGAACAAGCATGGGTTGCCGAAAACAGTTTCCAGATCTTCATGGGGAACAAGCATGGGCTGCTAAAAACCAGTTTCAACCCAGATCTTCATGGGGAACAAGCATGGGCTGCTAAAAACCAGTTTCAACCCAGATCTTCATGGGGAACAAGCATGGGCTGCTAAAAACCAGTTTTAACCCAGATCTTCATGGGGAACAAGCATGGGCTGCTAAAAACCAGTTTTAACCCAGATCTTCATGGGGAACAAGAATGGGTTGCTGCAAACCAGTTCTGACACAGACCTTCATGGGGAACAATCACAGGTTGCTGAAGACTTGTTCTACGCCAGATCTTCCATGATGACAGATGGGTTCTTGAAGACAAATTCTAACCCCATGCTGACATCCAGTCTGTGACAGAAACCAGTTTTATTATCAAGTAATACTGTCACAAGATTCAAAATGTATTTTAAGAAATTTGATTTCTACAAAATTGCTCCAGGTCATTTAACTTACAGGAAAATGTAATTAGTGGATCCCAATAAAAAATGTCAATCTTTGAGTCTTTAAAGTTTGTGCTTGCTTATTTGACAGTTTTACAATGGATATGAGTCTCTTGTGTGTACACAGACCACAAATGCGAGGCCTAAAGCTCCTACTGCTCCAATCAAGGCCAGAACCATCAACGCTGCACATGCTGACATCCAGATCTGTGACAGAAACCAGTTTTATTATCAAGTAATACTGTCACAAGATTCAAAATGTATTTTAAGAAATTTGATTTCTACAAAATTGCTCCAGGTCATTTAACTTACAGGAAAATGTAATTAGTGGATCCCAATAAAAAATGTCAATCTTTGAGTCTTTAAAGTTTGTGCTGCTTATTTGACAGTTTTACGATGGATATGACAAATAATCCATTTCTGGACCAAACATTCCTTTATTCTACCTTCATGTAAAATACTTAAATTTTATTGGTCAATGACGCTTTACCAAGTATCCGTGTCGCCCCTCCCAGGAAGGTGACAACTGGAAAAATTATTACCAGCTGCCACGGTAACCGCCAAATTCTCCGCCGAGAAGCTGTATTGTTAACAATCATATGACATCATAATATGACGCACAGAGTTCAAAAACTGTTCGATTAGCTGTTTTTGATTTCTCTATGTACATATTTATTTACCGACTTTCGCTGCTTTATTTAAACTATTTTATACACTGCATCATTGGCACACTAAACTTAAACATAATCAACCATTTTTCCAGCAGTTTTAGACTTGTCAGAATATGTCTCACTGATTTTAAAAATCCAGTCGAGAAACAGAAACAGTTCGGTAGTTTGCACAGGAGGTAGGGATGTGTTAACTTGTTACTATACTCTGTAGTGACTCTGGGTTAGCTCATTAATTAAATAGGGGTGGACAGCATGGCTCAGCTAGTTAGTGTCCTCATTGGGTCTGCCTTATGGGAGGTCTGTCTTTTGGGGACTGACTGACTGACTGAGTTTGGTTTTACACCGCTTTTAGCAATATTCCAGCAACATCACGGCAGGGGACACCAGAAATGGGCTTCACACATTGTACCCATGTGGGGATTCGAACCCGGGTCCTCAGCGTGACGAGCCAGCGTTTTAACCATTAGGCTACCCCACCGCCCCCTTTTGGGAGTGAACCTTTGAGTCTGGTGTTAAGGGGCCTGAGGGTTTCGCTTTGTATCAATTACTATTAGGCCTGGCTTCCATTTGTTTCTTACCACCCTGTTATATGCCACTATTGTTACCTCATCAACTACGCCTGGATTTCTGGATTAACAATAACCCTCGTTATACCGTTGTTGTTTCAACCATATTGTCCATCCACCCAGTTAGTGCCATCCACTTTGTCGCTTCATGGTAATTCTCTGATTATCCGAAATGGACCAATTTCTGGACAACACACATTGCTGTTTAAGCTCCCTGGCGATGGATTTGCTCATTATTTACTAGTAATTATGTTTTTCCATACAGCCGCAAGTATGATTCTTTATGCTACTCAGTGTTTCGTAGATTTCTTTGTTTCAACATGTACATATATAGCTGTTTGTTCCTAATTGTTTGATTCAACTGATGAAGGAGTAAGAACATACTTCGAAATGTCGTGATCCTTCACAATAAAGACATTGTCATCCATAAAACAAACAAGTTTGGGTTAAGACCAGATCTATTTGACTGGATATAACATACATCCAGGGCTCCAGATAATTTTTCAACATCAGGAGTACTGGAAAATCTTAAGAGTACTGAATGAAATTTAATGGCATATTTTAACCTTGTGTTTCGTGTCATATATGCACCACAACGTTGCTAGTCTTGTGTAAACAGGTTAATAAACAATAAAACAATACTTTTTCAGATACTGTACATATCGTCTGTAAATGATTCTAGGACCATTGTCGTCGTCCGTATCTGCTACGTTTTCCAAATTATTTCCTGCCTTATCGTGCATATTTTTTATCTGTACGTACGCCGATACGGCCCTAATCCAAAGACTAGATGGACTGCTGCTTGTATAGCATGCAAAGCTTCATTGTGTCGATAAAATATTGCAGACATCATCAACAAAACAGATGTCTCACCTTTCTTGACACAAGCCCTGAGGGAAGACGTGATCTCGTAGCACTCCTCCCATAGACCCCAGGACCGCCAGCCATCCTTTACAGTCGTGAACTTGACATCCACCCAATCAGCTGCAGCAATGCTGATGATGAGGAGCAGCAACGCGATCCCCGTGAAGATCACAGCTAATAGCTGTTGGAGAACAAGAAATGTCAATCAGTTGATAGCAACACTTGATCAGCTCATTAGCAGATGGGCCCAATTAGATGATTATGTGTACCTGACAAGACCAGGATGTTGTACGTCTGCTGTTTTGATGGGTCATTATTCTACAGTAGATGTTGTACAGGGTTGGATGAGAAGGTAGCGAGTCTGACTTTACAGTTTGGAGTGAGTGAGTGAGTGAGTGAGTGAGTGAGTGAGTGAGTGAGTGAGTGAGTGAGTGAGTGAGTGAGTGAGTGAGTGAGTGAGTGAGTGAGTGAGTGAGTGAGTGAGTGAGTGAGTGAGTGAGTGAGTGAGTGAGTGAGTGAGTGAGTGAGTGAGTGAACTGACGAGTTTAGTTTTACGCAGTCTTCAGCAATATTCCAGCAATATCACGGCAGGGAACACCAGAAATGGTCTTTACACATTGAACCCACGTGGGAAATCGGACCTAGGTCCAATGATGACCAAACGCTTTAACCTGTGACTAGGCTATCCCACCACCCCCAACATGGAATAAGTGAGCCCTCCTCTTTGAGCAATATGGACATGAACTTCTCAGCTGACAAACTGAGCCATGAAGGTCCACATCACCCTTGAGAATGCACAAACGGTGTAAAATATCAGCAAGATAATTAGAGTTTTATACAAACAACAGCACACTTTTAAATGAACTATAGTTAAGATTATACTGAGGTTAGCTGCATAAGAAGTTATGCTGGTATAAAAATCGTAAGTTGGAACAATATTTCAGTTATATTTGGGCATATCTGCCTCACCAGTGTTGATATCGAAAGGGATTTAGAAAAGGGGTTTAGAAGTTGTGTTGCATTCAAGAATACTGCACTCTTACAGAAACATGCATGCATGTGTGTGTGCTACAAATAGTCTTGAGGCCACTGAGATGTAGACTAACATCTATTCTCTGAAATGAACATATTTAACAGAAAAAAACAGTTCCTGAATTATAATAATAAAATACAAAGAAAAGGAGTGCAGAGACTTTCTTCATTTTCTGAAACTGTGGAAATCTAGACTTGCCACATATTTTGAATTGCATGGGCTTTCTGGGATATTTTTGTTTCAGGGTCTGTATGACAGATTAACTGAGATGCAATGCCACAGATTAAAATGGACAGCCCACAGCCCCTACATTATATGGATTCTGACCAGCATGTATTTTATCTCATTAACACTAAGCACCAGGGCCTAGATTTTCGAAGCTCTCTTAGCGTTAAGATAGTCTTAAGTGCCATACATTAACAGTAACTTATGACTATCTTAGCGCTAAGAGAGCTTCGAAAATCTAGGCCTAGGCAGGGAAACAACAAGTACCATCTTTAAGATCTGGCATGCTGTGTTGAGGTGAACATTAAGTATCAGCTTTGCCACATATCCTGCACCAGTATTCCACAGATTCTCATTAGCGACGAAGTGGAAAAACTTTGATATGTCAACATGATCAAACATGGGTTTATAAGTCAACAGTAACAACTGACTCACTACAGTGAGACACATACTCTACAAGGGTCTACAAATTCCAATTTAAAACAAACCCAAAACAAAAACATTCAAACAATTTTCCACTCTTGATCAGAAATTCGTACAAAGTACAAAACATGAACTAATTTGCACAGTCAGATCCTCAAATAGAACAGAAAAGGGAGCGAATTCATTATACCTTTCTGCACTCTATAAAGAAGCATGTTTTTCCAAGCCAGTGCAAGCAAGAGAACTGAAAGGTGTGGTATGACATGCTCAGTGAGAATATCCGTGTTAGTTTATTTTCAGACTATTTTCAGCCACAATTAATTGCCAGGTCTGCCAGTGTAAAAGCTACTGTTGATATACCTCATAACTGGCACATTATGTCATGGTGTTTGTGAAATGTTTCACATAATTGCTGAATGTCTATGAGTAATACAATCAGGAATGCCTGGAGCCGAACAGCCAGTGTTTAACAGCATACAACACTGTAACTGAGACACTGTCTAAACACTGCCATAATTCCTCGTATCAACAAGGTGCTCCCTCCTGTTCAAATGTATTCACTATGACGTAATACATATTTCTCAATATAAACAAATCTGTACTGGTTATTTAAACCCACTAGATCTGTGAGAATACTGAATAAGATTACAGACTCCTAGGGCTGCGCAATATAACCGGTTTACCGGAATTTACCGGTTCAGACATGAAAATGATACGTTTTGCGATACGCTGATCGAAAACCGGTATTTTGACTTGCATTCGGAAAACTTCGTAACACTCGGAAATCTTCGGATATTTCCTTGTTTCATTTGTGCCAAATAGTATTCACATTTCTATTTTATCATGATGAAAAGTCGTTATTAAAGCTTAATCACGCATAGTGATTTTGATGTGTTTTTGCTCTATAAATCAAGCATTAACTCGATTATAAGTTTTTTTTGTTTAAAAATACTTCATGCAATATATTGCAATACATATCGCAATACATGCTTTCGCATTGCAATATATCGCAACATGAAAATTCTCTGCTATACCCACCCCTACAGACTCCCAGTGACTGTTTGTCAAAAGAGTGAGTGAGTTTAGTTTTACGCCACACTCAGCAATATTACAGCTATATGACGACTATCTGTAAATAATCAAATCTGGACCAGATCTACCCCATTGGGGTATGATGACATAGGTCAACCAAGACCACCCAAACTTATGACAAGCATGGGTTACTGAACACCAATTCTAACCCAAATCTTCAAGAGACAACAAAACTGATCAACTACACTTCATTTGGAGGCATGAGTAGACACAATATGATTGTGAATTCTTTGAATAATGGGGACCGAGGTTGTAATTATCGGTAACTGCCAGTTGTCTGTGGTCTGTGTTTGCCAGGATTAGGACCCCATCCTGGGGGATCGGCTTATGTATGAAACATACCATTTTGACACTGATTTTAAGGGTCAAGTTAGGGTCTCGGCTTATGTATGGGGTCGGCTTATCTACTGTAATATACGGTAAATGCACAGTGTCCAGCTGGATGACTTCAATTTATGTCATTGTATCTCAGTTCGTGCATCATTTCTCACCACTGCAAATTTGTCTAGTCCAGAATATTTACCAGGGTTTTACGGGATGATTCCTCATAATCAGAAATTTGATGAAACAGAATATTGCTGATATTGTTCGATGTTGTCCATAAACATTCGTTTACAATCATTTTTCTAATGAAATAGAAAGTAAAACATATTATAACCTAATCATGATCAATTATTGCAAGCAAAGTGAGAAGTTTAGTTTTATCCAAACAATGCTGGGACACGATGACATTTAATGAGTGAGTGAGTGAATATGGTTTTACACCACTTTTAATAATAATAATAAAAATAATACAAAATATTTATAACGCGTCATTCCAGGCTTCATATCCTGCTCAAAGCTCACAATCTGATTATAAATATCCCAGATAACCCAAGCTGCCTGTGCAACATTCCTGAAACATCACAGCTTGGGATACCAGAAATGGGCATCACACATTGTACCAATATGGAGAATTGAACCCAAGCCTTCAGCGTGACAAGTGAACACTTTAACAACTTGGCTACCCCACCACCCCGACATTTTATGAAATACATCACCATGATCACCAAGTCTGACCCTCCAGTCCATATAGTTGCCTTTTACAATAACTTAGGTTGACAGGAACCATTCCAACCAAGAATCCCACATGTGGGAGTGTCAACTCGATCACGCTAGTGTTGGTAATTGGTTAAAATCTCATAATTGATGATTGGTATCAGTGTTTCCGCTGACTTAATTATTTATCGGACACTGTGTCAGGCGACCTAAAATTTTACCGGTCATGAATGAAATTTGACGGTCGTATCCTATTGCCATACTGTAAGTACTCATTTTAAAGTTATTTTTAGCCTGGGTATTTCCGAAACAAAAAGAATTTTTGCGACCATGAAAGCACAGCTAAGACTGTCATTTTTAAACTGTTTTGTTTTCACCATATTGTTTTTATTTTGATACATGATTATTTACCAGACACAATGTCCAGTAGTGGGTTTCAATTTAGGTTGACGGTCCCCAACAAATTTTACCGGTGATTTTCAGGTATATACCGGAGAACGGAAACACTGGGTATATTACAACCGATCAATCATCGAAAAAAATCGGTTGGCGTCATTAATGAAATCTGTTAATGCACATAAAAATAAGGAAAAAACATGTAGTTCTTTTGGGGTGTTTTGGGCAAAATTTCACTTCTTTAAAGAATGACTAGTATGTCAGGAACATAAATTTCTTGGAGTCTTTAAGATAAATTCAATCATGACTTGAAACGAGCTTGTAGTGCTTATGAAATGTAACAGACAAAAATAACCATGTGAAAAATATTGTTTATAAAAACAAGTGTTCCAGAATTGTTTGTGTTCGATTATGAGAAAACATGATCGATTGCTTGGTCGTTTAGTCACTGCGACCAATCTTCGATTATTTCAATTAATCGGACTACCACTAGATCACGCTTAACACGTATATGTATGTGTATGTATGTATGTGTAACAGCATGTTATTAAAAGCATCAACCACTTAAAACCAACCTCAACAATAAAGATGTAAATATTTATAATTTTGGTATATACAAATTCACTTTCAAACCATGGCAACACCAAATATGGCAAACAATCAAATAATACACAAAACATAGGAAAGCTTTGTGAAATACTATTCTATCACTCCACAACTAGGAATTACTTGGGGCATGTATTTTAGGGCCCTAACACAGAATAGTTAAGTCCTACTGGTTAAAAAGTAATGTTACCTGTTGAAGCCGGAAAAAGATGGTCACAGATGGATGCAAAGGCATGCAGTTAAAAATAGATATGGATTTCCCGAAATAAACCAATTCTACAAGTTACCTAGCACTTTTTAAGTGGCATTTAGAAGCTGGTATGTTGAAGAGGGACAATTTTCATGGACAGACTGACTGACTGACTGAC